CCTAGGCCCACTGACTTCCTGCAACAGGTGCAAACGAGGAGGGACTCAGAAGGAAGGTCAGATCCAGGAACACAGATCAGCCAGGTGGAGCTGAGTCTGTTCCCTGAGCGGAGGGAGAGCACACACAGGCCACACACATAGCTGGCACCCTCCTCCACCCCTCAAGGCAAAGAAATGTGGTCAAGGTAGAGCGTAACCTAACAGCTGGTTCCGTACCATGCCCACAGAGCACACTCTGTAAATGCAGCTTAGGATAATGAATATTGTATTATCCCATGTAGGAACTTCAGCAAACCCAGATCCAGTGAATACCCTAAAAATCCCACTGAGGTACACATAGCATTTTTTTAGATTGTATTTCTATATTTTTAAAGGTTCATAAATATATAATTTACATACCGTGAAGTTCACCCATTGAAAATGTATAATTCAATGGTTTTAAACATATTTAGGGAATCATGAGCCATCATCTTAATCTAATTTTTGGAACATTTTAATCACCCCAAAAGGAAACTTTGTTCCCATTAACAGTCATCCTCATACCACTCCTTCCCTTAGGCAACCACTAATCTACTTTCTTTCTCCATAGATTTGCCTACTCTGGACATCTCCTATAAATGGAATTATACAATGTGGCCTTTGGTAGTTGGCTTCTTTCACTTAATGTCATGTTTTTGTGAAGTTCATCTATGTTGGCACATATATCCATACTTCATTTCTCTTTATGGCTGAATATTGTTTCCATATTTTTGGCTATTATGAATTTGAACATCCATCATGTACATGTTTGTTTTTGGGGTTTTTTTTTTTTTGAGAGAAAGGGTCTTGCTCTGTCACCCAGGCTAGAGTGCAGTGGTGCCATCATAGCTCACTGCAACCTCAAACTCCTGGGCTCAAGAGATCCTGTTACCTTAGCCTCCTGCCTAGCTGTGACTTCAACCACGTGCCACCATGCCCGGCTAATTTTTCTATTTTTAGTAGAGACAGGGTCTAACTCTTGCTCAGGCTGGTCTTGAACTCTTGAGCTCAAAAGATCCTCCCACCTCAGCCTCCCAGAGTGCTAGGATTACAGGCATGAGCCACCATGCCCCATGTATACATTTTTGTCTGGTTATATGTTTTCAAGTATCTCAGGTAGATATCTGGGAGTGGAATTGCTAGGTTAAATAGTAACTCTATGTTTAATCAGTTGAGGAACTACAAAAATGTTTTTCAAAGTGGCCATACCATTTTACAGTCCCATCACAGTGTATGAGGGTTCCAATTTCTCCACATCCTCACCCACACTCGTTATCGTGCACATAGAATTTTAACTAGTCTTTCACTTAAGTATTTACCCAATGTTGGCTGAGATTCTGATGCCCGCCATATGTCCAAATTGGGTTGAGGCATTCAGTCTACAGGCACTTATTCAACATCTATTATGTGCTAGGACCATGGCAATAAGGACCTCTTGCACTCAAGAAGATCACAGTCTAGGCCAGGCGCGGTGGCTCACGCCTGTAATCCTAGCTCTCTGGGAGGCCGAGCGGCGGATTGCTCAAGGTCAGGAGTTCGAAACCAGCTCGAGCAAGAGCGAGACCCCGTCTCTTACTATAAATAGAAAAAATTAATTCAACTAATATTATAGAAAAATTAGCGGGCATGGTGGCGATGCCTTGTGTCCCAGCTACTTGGGAGGATGAGGCAGAAGATGCTTGAGCCAGGAGTGAGTTGCTGTGAGCTATGACGCCATGGCACTACTCTAGCCTAGGCAACAAAGTGAGACTCTGTCTCAAAAAAAAAAAAAAAAAAAAAAAGGATGGTAGATGAGCAAATGATTTCAGTCTTGCCCACCTGCCGGGCTCATGACAGAGGAGGCTTTGAAAGCATAAAGGAGGAGCCCTCATTCTGAACTGTACAGGAAAGAGTCCTTGGAAGTAACGCTTGAGTTAAGTCTTCAAGCAAGGAAAGGAGAGTCAGGCAGAGTGGAGGGATTGGCTGGGGAGAAGGAGCTGCAGGACGAAGTACCCATCCGTGCCTAGGAGGTTTAAGAGTCCTGAGGCTTTGGAGAATGGGCTGCCAGGAGCTGCCTGAGGCTGAAGGGAAAGGTGTGACATTGGGATAGTGGCCCAGAAAAGATGTCAAAAGGTAAACCACATCATAAAGGGCCTTGTATTTCATGCCCAGGGTGTATTAATTTTATCCTAAACTCATGGTGCCATGGACAGATTTTGAGGAGAGGAGTGATAGGCCAGGTATTCGTCTGGGAGGTCACCCTGGCAGCAGAGTGGGGACCGGTGGGTAGAGGGATTGAGAAGAGGTGGGAGGTACGGGATACGCCCAGGCTTTGATGAAGGCCTGGCATCGGCCTAGCGTGGAAATTGATCCTGGGGGCGTACCGTGTTTCCTGGGGGAACAACAATTTTAAAGGGAGTCACCATAGCAAAAAGGTCCTAACAGAGAAGGCCAAGAAGGGAAGGGCAGCCTGAAAGCCCTCCACAGAGGCTAGCCCAGGGCATTGGCCAGATCCCAGTGAATACTCATATCTGCTTCCACCTCCCAAGCCCATCCCGAGGTACAGTCTGGTCTGAATTCAAAGAGCTGGGGCTGTCCCAGCCAATTTGGTGTCTCCTCTCATCCTAACTCTTGTCCTTTGCAGGGCTCCCCAGGCTTCTTCTGGGAGGGGAGACACTCATTTTCTGTTTCATCCTGTGGACTTTGCTGTGCTTGTGAGGTTCTTGCCCTTCTTGGGCTCCCAGGAAGGTCTCGTGAACAGGATGAAGTTCTGGTAGAGCAGCCCCAGACCCAGGATTGGACAGCAGGACCTGGAACAGCTGAGAGTCTCTATAAATAATGAAAATTATCTTATACACATATGTTTAAACATAATTTCTGGCTTTTTTGTACTTCACTAGTTGATGCATTCCTTCTGAGGTATCTCAGAAAAAAATAATCCTCTAATGAAATAATCAGTAGCTGATTTCCATATGGTAATCATTGAGCAAATATTAAATGGTCAAACATTATTTTAATAAAAAACCTTTTTACCTTTCCTATTTCATTCCTGTAATTGAAGTATAACACACATATACTGTAAAACTCAGTATATTTTTATGTATTACATCCAGATCAACATACAATCATCCCAGAAGTTTTCCTGGTGTCTCTTTACACTAATCCCTCCTCTCCAAGAGGTTACTGCTCTTCTAACTTTTGATACCATAAATAAGTTTTGCTTGTTCTTGAACTTCAGTTTGAATCATACAATATGTACAGGCTGCTTTTGCTCAGCATAGTGTCTGTGAGAGTCGTACATGTTCTTGCATGCATAAGGCATTTGTTCTTTTCTTTGCCATGTGGTATATTCCATTGTGCGGATATACCACAATTTATTTGTCTGGTTTCCTGCTAATGAACATTTGGGTTATTTCCAGTTTTTGCCTTTAATGTTTAAAGCTGTTTTGAATATTCTAGTGTAGTCTCTTGGTGGCCTTATGCACTCATTTCACCCAGTAATGGAATTGCAAGGTCATAGGTAGGTAGACATATGCTTAACTTTGTAGATATTTGTAGATACCGCTGAGCAATCATCCAAAGTTGTTGAACCAATTTACAGTCTCATTAAGGGATTGGACTTTGTTTCTTTGTTTTTTGGTTTTCGGGGTTTTTGTTTTTGTTTTTGTTTTTGAGACAGAGGCTCACTCTGTTCCCTGGGCTAGAGTACCTTGGCATCAGCCTACCTCACAGAAACCTCAAACTCCTGGGCTCAAGTGATCCTTCTGCCTCAGCCTCCTGAGTAACTGGGACTACAGGCATGTGCCACCATGCCCGGCTAATTTATATATATATATTTTTTTTTTTTTTTTTTTTAGTTGTCCAGCTAATTTCTTTCTATTTTTAGTAGAGATGGGGTCTCGCTCTTGCTCAGGCTGCTCTTGAACTCCTAACATTCCCACCTCGGCTTCCCAGAGTGCTAGGATTAACAGGCGTGAGCCACCGCACCTGGCCTGTTTCTTTTCTTTTCTTTTTTTTTTTTTTTGAGACAGAGTCTCACTTTGTTGTCCAGGTTAGAGTGAGTGCCGTGGCGTCAGCCTAGCTCACAGCAACCTCAAACTCCTGGGCTCAAGCGATCCTGCTGCCTCAGCCTCCCGAGTAGCTGGGACTACAGGCATGCGCCACCATGCCCGGCTAATTTTTATATATATATATCAGTTGGCCAATTAATTTCTTTCTATTTATAGTCTCTTGCTCAGGCTGGTTTTGAACTCCTGACCTTGAGCAATCCGCCCGCCTCGGCCTCCCAAGAGCTAGGATTACAGGCGTGAGCCACAGCGCCCGGCCCTGGCCTGTTTCTTTGATTTTTTTGGGGGGAGGGGAGAATAAAGTTTATTGTCCCTAAAATGGAGGAAAAATGCAATAGGATATTACAAATCTAGCTTTAAGTCACTTTTTTGACATTTAAATAGACAAGCTACCTTTCACCACTTATTTATAATTCCCCTTTTTTGAAAAAGGGACATCATATAATTCGCCCTTTTAAATAAGTGCACAATTACATGGTTTTTAGTATATTCACAAGGTTGTTCAACCATCACCACAATGGAAAAACATTTTCATCACTCCAGCAGGAAACATTGTACCCATTAGTAGTCACTCCACATCCTTTCCTTTCCCCAATTCCTGGCAACCACTAATCTATTTTCTGTCTCTATGGATTTGCTTATTCTGGACATTTCATATAAATGGTTAAACTTTTTAAATTTTTTTAAATGACAAATAATATTTGTACATACTCATGGGGTACATAGTGATGTTTCCATACATGCAATGTGTAGTGATCAGATCAGGGTAATTCACATATCCATCATCTCAAACATTTATTTCTTTAAGTTGGGAACACTTAATAGCCTCCTTTTAGCTATTTGAAACTATATATTATTATTAGCTATAGTCATCCTACAATGCTGTAGGATACTAGAATTTATTTATATCAATTTCTACAATATATTTTTTTCTAGGATCCTAAACACTTCAAGTCAGAGAAGACAGGACGGGGACAGTTAAGAGAAGGCTGGAGAGATAGTCACCAGCCCATCATGTGCTCCTACAAGCTGGTGACTGTGAAGTTTGAGGTCTGGGGGCTTCAGACCAGAGTGGAACAATTTGTACACAAGGTAAGTGATCCAACAGCAGTTCCTGGGCTTTGGACAAGGTAACTGTCTTTATTGTCAAGTTGGAGTGCATGGTACATTACAAACGCAGGAGTCTGAGCCAACATCAGGTAACTGCATCCAAAAAAACACTTTTTGGATGAAAATGCATTTTATGTATGGGATTAATTTTCTTCCACTAATAGATATTTCATACTTCATCTCTCATTATGTGACCTCCTTGTCTATTGAGTGAGTATATTTGGGAAGTGGGGCTTTGGACATAGACCTCTCACTTTGGCACCAAGCTAATCTACTTCCAGATAGAGGCACTTTGGAAGAGGCAAGAGGACTTATCTGTGTGCACAGCCCCTAAGAATAATAATACTCACTCAAAAAATCTGCAAATGTGGATACCTAAAGTAGAAGATGCCCCAAGAGACACAACAAGAAATCCCACTAGTTCCCCAAGACAGTACACCTCAGCATTTCTGCTCATTTAATCATTCAGTTACCAAAGAATTATTGACAACCTCAGAATGCAGATTTCAGTTGTATACCCACTTTGGCTAAACATGTTAATTTTGTAGCAGGAACCTACTAGGTAATGGTTTATGTTTTCTCAGGGTTTTTAACGTGACTCTTTTATCCTCATGGGAAAAAAATGGGAAATGTAATGTTGTCCGTTGCCCTTTGTAGCTGCTCCCATTTTCATAAAAATAAATACTACTCAGATTGCCTCTACATTCCAGATAGGCTGGCTATCTGTTTATTTTTCCACTAAAGAACTGATAAAGAATAGCTTTCCAAAATTCTTTGGGAATTTAACTGGAATTTAACCTTAATACATTGAGCTTTTTGTTACTTAGATGGGATTTGTCTACTGAGATTGGGGGCCAATAAAAACTCTTAATTTTTCAATTTAGGTCCAAGGAATAAATTGCCAGTCACTTGAACCCTGGTCACTTAGGCTTGTGGTTATAGCAGACACTGGAACAAATTTGAGAGCCTTGGTGTTTGTCAATCCTCTACTAAGCTCCAGAACCCATTATGCCAGCCAGGAGTGGGAATAGAGTAAAATACATAGAAATCAAGTTCTGGGACCTCCATTTTTCTTCTGGGTCCTGGTCCTGAAGCAGGAAAACAGTCACAGCTCCCAGAGTAAATATTTCCCAGCCTCAACTCTGTGTCTATCTAAGGCTTTGTCTTTGACTTCTCATAATATCCCCCCCCTTTATTTTTTGCAACTTTTTAACACAAAATGATCTCTTCTCACTAGGGCCACTATCCTAATGAGTTTTATTTGCTCTCACAAAGCATATGTGGATTGCTCCAGGGCTCCCTGTGTTTCTTTTCTCACAGATGACTTTGGCTAGTTTCGAGAACCTATTTCTCTAACATACCTGTAAGATTTATGCTTTGGACGTGGGCATTTCCTTTGCCCACTTCCAAATATAATGAGCTGTTATCAACACCCCAAAAACACACCTGCTCTGGCCCATGAGTCGCTAATGAGTATCTGAGGCCAGCATTTGCATGGGTTTAAGGTGCCAGGAATGCCTTTCTCTGAACACTTTTGTTTTTTTTAAGAATCTATTCACAGTTAAGGGGAAAAAAATGTTCGAAAGCGAGCCATTAGCATATTATTGAGTTCTTGTTTCCAGCCGACAGCTGTGTTGTGCTTTACGAAATAGGGTATATTTACTGATGCCTGGATGCTGTTCTTTTGATTTTCATGAATTTGACACACTCAGCACTCAAGTGTGCATCGCTGCGTGTCATTTCCTATATTCATGATATGTTTCCTACTTCCAAGTCATAAAAGCCTCACTAGATATCCAGAGGCCTGGAGTAATAAACACTTCATTATAAATGCTTTCCTTGTTTCTGAAAATTCACCCAATTAAAATCCTTCATTTATTGAACATGCTTGAACTTTCCACGAGAGGTTTTTGACAATCGCTGGATTTGTTTAGCAAGAAGAAAGGAATGTTGGAGGGAGACTATGAGTATCCAAGAAATGTAAGAAAAAAAAACAACATATTTATACAGGACAAAAAAGGTTACCATGACATAAAAGTACATGTACAGTATAACACACACGCACACAGTATATGTTATTGTCCTTAGCCTTATATCACCATAAGAAACAATTTCATTGCTTTTGTCTCTACTCAAGTTTAACATTCCCATTATGTTCTGTTTTAGTTCAGGTCTCTTTTTTTTCATCTCTTTCAGTAATAATTGACCAAACTTTTTTTTTTCCTTCTATTAGATGAAAGTCAAGCCTAAACGGATATTTACCTACCTTGTATCCCATACTTTCATTTGTTTTTTAATTGAATCAATATTTAGACTATTTAGGCTAATTTTAATATTTAGGCTATTTCATATGATAGATCAATATTTAGGCTATTTCATCAGAGAAGAAGGAATGTTAAATGTTCTTTGCTTAGAAGTGACTTGCTGCCCAGAAAAATGTTCTAGATTTCCAATATTTATGACATCTGGGCACCAGTGAGACTCACACCCTCCCACAAATGAAAAGTAGACACTGATAAAGATAAATGAAGAGAAAAACTTCAAGGTGATAGGCCTAGAGATTCATTCATATCACTGCTGTGGTTGTTATTAGCTGGTACACACCCTGAGCCCTGCTCTCACATAAGCCAAAGAGATAATTCACAGCAAGTATATGCATGCCATGGAAAGGTCCAGGCAGGGACAGGATGGGCACAGCAAACACATCTGTGTATATCAGCCTAGAATTGTCGTCACATGTGGATAGAGGGATTGTGAATTCTGTCATCACCAAGATTCTCAGAATTGGGAACAACCTATTTTCCAGTTGGTTTTAATCAAACATAGTATTATTTCAACCTCCTTCTTTTACTTTTTAGGTGGTCCGAGACATTCTGCTGATTGGACATAGACAGGCTTTTGCATGGGTTGATGAGTGGTATGGTAAGTCAATTTCTTTGAAATCACTTGTAGAACAACTTCATAACATGTTGCCTTGTTCACCTAGCTTCGACTAATACCTAGAAGGACAACAAAGGCAAGACTACTGCTCCCTATGTTGGAAATAGCACTGTCCATCGTGCATAATGAAGATGTAATTATAGAAGCCTGGTTTAAAATAACCACAGAATTATTGACTAAGTCAGACCTCTGTATGTTTGATGCTTGCGTAGTTGATCCGCAGGGCTCCATCATTCTCTGCTGGATGGGTTTCAAACCCATCCTAATGTATCCCAAACTTCAATTCAAGATCAAAGCTGTCTGAAGCATCATATCAAGTAAAAGCAGTCCTTTGATTCAGAGAACACTTGAAACAAATCCCTCACCAAATACACACAGGTTCTGCAAGAATCCAAGGGCATACAGAGGCCTATGTGCCCCATTAATCCTAAATGAGACTGTTGTTCTGGGCTTTTTATTTTTTATGGTATGGGAAGAGTTAAACAAGTTCTGCACATATTCTAGCAAAGAAAACAAGGTTAGCTTCATCCCTTGATGGATGGACCACCCTTCCCAGATCATCGGCACATGAATCCTCTGCATTCTCAGAATCAGTTATCAGGTGGCCAGTGTCCTTGGCTATAAATAGAAATGAACACGCCCAGTGGGTGACTTAAGTTAGATCTGATTTTCAGGTCGATTGTCTAATGAAATGCCCTCCTCCTTGACCTTTTCCTAAGTCACATTAAATTTGTTCTGAGTGTAACCTAGATTGTATTTGGATCCTTTTGTGTCATTGTGCCACCAATTCTCTCCCTTTTCTTAGCAGAAGGCATCAAATTTAAAGTAAGAGGATACATTGGATGGAATGGGCAAAGACAGTGATTATTATTAATGTTGCTATCTATTTCTGAGCCACACTTAAAAGGCATAGTTCTGTAGGCTATGGGCTTTTTTCTTTTTTCCAATTTTCCAAGATCTGCACCCTCTGAAGAGCAACTGCGTCTTCCTGGGTTTGTCCAAATGGAGATCGTCATTTAGTCTCTCTTATTACATACCCACAGGACGCTGTTCTCCTGCAGCAAGTGCACTGGCTTGCCCCCTTGTCATGAAGTCTCCCAAAGACCTGTCTATTTGTGGTTCTCTTTCATGAGGCAGGAAGAAGGAGCATCTCCTGTGATTACTTCCTCTGATCCGTAAATCTTTCTGGTTGTTTTTTCTGGGTAGCTTTTCTCAAATTCTCAGAGAGAGCAGACACTCTAAAAAAGTATAAGAACTTCTGGTATCTCCTGCCTCATGCCCCTCAGAGCTCTTGGTTTACTTGCTACCAACACCAAGGGAACCAAAAGGCTATTCAAAGAACAATAGCTTCAAACTAATTAGAAGTTTGGCAAGAAGACAGGCATCTGAAGGGCCAGAAATTTGCCACTTTGAAAACCAAGAAAGAGCATGCTTGGATGTGTTTCTCTCTAGCACCGGAATGCCTTTCAGAAAAGGCAACATCAAAAATGGCAGCCAGGCCCTGATCAAGAGGACAAAACATTGCAAGGCTGTGAATCAGAAAAAAAGGGTTTGATTAGAGGCAGGATAGGAAGAAAGAAAAAGATGTGGGTGGGTATCTAGCAAGTGAAAGGCTGGTAGAGGATGGAGACTGACTCTTTTTTATGTCAGCGGAGCCTGGAGTTGAATGAGACTTAAGGATTTTTTTTTTTTTTTTTTTTTTGAGACAGAGTCTTGCTTTGTTGCCTAGGCTAGAATGAGTGCCGTGGCATCAGCCTAGCTCACAGCAACCTCAAACTCCTGGGCTCAAGCAATCCTTCTGCCTCAGCCTCCCAAGTAGCTGGGACTACAGGCATGCGCCACCATGCCCGGCTAATTTTTTCTATATATATTAGTTGGCCAATTAATTTCTTTCTATTTATAGTAGAGACGGGGTCTCGCTCTTGCTCAGGCTGGTTTCGAACTCCTGACCTCGAGCAATCCGCCCGCCTCGGCCTCCCAGAGAGCTAGGATTACAGGCGTGAGCCACTGCGCCCGGCCTTTTTTTTTTTGAGACAGAGTCTCACTCTCTTGCCCTGGTGAGAGTACTACCATGGCGTCAGCCTACCTCACAGCAACCTCAAACTCCGGGGCTCAAACCATTCTCCTGCCTCAGCCTCCCAGGTAGCTGGGACTACAGGCACATGCTACCATGCCCAGCTAATTTTTTTTTCCTATTTTTAGTTGTTTGGCTAATTTGTTTCTATTTTTAGTAGAGACTGGTTCTCCCTCTTCCTCAGGCTGGTCTCGAACTCCTGAGCTTAAGCAATCATCCCACCTCAGCCTCCCTGAGTGCTAGGATTATAGATGTGAGCCACTGCGCCCGGCCCTTAAGGACTTTTAATAAAAAAAAAAATTTTTTTTAAAGGAATTCTTAGATTATTACAGGGAGTCCAAAGCTAGAATAATATATCAAAGGAAGTGGGAGATCTCCAGTCTAGAGACCTTTAAAAAGAGAACATTTACCTGTTCTCTTAGGATGGGGTAGGTGGAAATAGATAACAAATCAAGGAGTCTGTTGACCAAAAAGCCGTCTCCATGTCTGAGTGCAAAAAAAACAGTGCGGGCTTTCGTGGGTGGATGTAGACCACCAGGGCACCTCACACTCCCCAGACTGTGTCTCCACCCACTGTACACACAGTCACATCCCCACCCAAACAGGCAGCCTTTTCACTCAGCATGGGTCTGAGAACCACACTATTAATTGCGTGTAAACTACTGCAGGCATCAGCACCCCCAGCTGAGCTGCTAGCCCCGAAAACAGTGGCTCCTTCATTACACAGATGCATGGAAATGGCCCTTGCCCACAGAGTGCCTTCAAGCTGTGCTGCCAGCTGTGGGCTTTTCGGGTAAATGGGTGTGTCACTGTTACGGAGGCCAAGTGCGCATCAGGACAACTCTTCAGTTTTGGATACCTGAAGTTGCTAATTTTTTTTCGATCTATATGGGCTCAGTGAGGCTCTTGTTAGTAAACATGGGAAAGGTCCAAAGTAAAGAAACCCTTGCCTATAGCTATGGATTATAGCACTGGTTTTCAGAGTAAGGACCCTGGTCCTGCAACATCAGTATCCCCTGGGGACTTGTTAGAAATGCATATTCTCAGGCCCCACTCCACACCTACTGTTCAGAAACTCTGAGGGACTAGCCCAGCAATCCGTGTTTTAATAAGCATTCCAGATGATTCTGATGCTGGCAACAGTTTAAGAACCACTGGCTTATAGCACGGGTTGTAGACCAGATTGGGTTGTGAGGTCAGTTTAATTCAATACAAATAGGTTAGATTAGAGAATAACAGATGTCTTCAGGGCCAACTGCTAAACTCTGTTGCCTTGTAAGAATGAGAACAAAAATGCCCCTTTAAACAGATGAATTAGGAAAAGGCACCCCTTCCTGACAGACCCAGCAGATCCCATGGGCTTGGGGATGAATTTTAGCCCTATTGGTCTCCTCCACTGTGTGCTCAGACAGTACACAACTACACCCTTCTGCAGTGGCAGTCCTAGATGTCTTTTTCTAATTAGACTCACCACCTCCAGTGCTTAATTAAGAGTCAATAAAAATGACATTCTGGAGGGGGGTGATCTTTTGTCACCCAAGGATTAATTTTGTATCTCCTCTGAGTTTCAGTATTTGCCTGTCACGAAATTGTTTCCCTAGACAGATTTTATTCTGCTCATGTTCATTGTAAAGTGTAACCGTTTCTGTCTTGGAGGAGTTGAGTGTGTCTTTCAGAGCCCTGATTGGCCTTAATCCATGAGCCTCGGATCTCTCTGCATGACTAGAACGCTAATCAGAGAAGCAACAACAACACATTTCAGAAGATGGGGTGAGAGGGAAGGTGGATAAAAATAGGCAGAACCAGCTTCATAAAAGCATGGTTTTGCTTTACAAATCTGACAGTATTTTGAGAAAGGAACACAGAACATTGCCAGAGGGAGCCTGGGATTGAGTTGAACCTCAAGAATGTCTTTGAAAACCTGACTCTTCCCAAAAAGGAGGGAGAGGGAGTTCTGGCTGGTACAGATGAAACTACCTCATGAAAGTGACTTAGAAATCAGCCTGGAGTCCCTAGAGCAGGTCTAACAAAGCGAGAAGTGAGATCAAGGCAGAGAAAGAAACCTGCTAGGGGTTGCATTAGCTGGTTGAGTTTACCAAGCCAGCATTTTCCAGTGTAACATTTTATGTCTGTGTGCTTATGTTCATTTTTCTTGGGAAAGAGCCCAAAGCTTTCCATCAGATTTTCAAAGGAATCTGTGAACCCTTCCCCTGCCTAATCCCCACTCCTAATTAAGAACTACATAAAAAAAAATCACAGCTGTAGATTGTAGTTCTAGATCTTAGTGGTCTGAATTACATGGAAAGGGTACACACCAAGCCTTAAGATTGGCTAATTTCACTACAACAAAATGGAGTTACCCTAAGCTTTTTGTAACAAGCATGTACTGAATTTATAATCATTTTAAAGAGTTAAAAAATGGTACTTCCCAAAGGATGGCCACCATTTTAATGGAGCCATAGGAGCATCCAATCTAACTCATGATTTCTGGAGCCTCCCTGACCCAACTGTTTGTTTAAGACTTTGATTTTGACTTAGATTGACTTTAAAAATTACTTCTGTTTTGGCTAAGGAGCCTGGGAGTGGAGAGAAAATATTCGTAGAAGAAAATAAAGGCTAGCGTGCCATTGCACATGTTGTTGAATTACAGTATAAGACTCTCCTTTGTTGAATTTTTACTGCTGCAATACAATGAAGGAAAGTCAGGCTGCAGGTGTTTTCTTCGAACACATTTGCAGTTTCCCTGCATGTTCAACTGACTTCTGTCCTGAAGGCCTTTCACACACATGATCTTGCCTCCACTTCCTGTGAAATCAACCTCCCTTCTTTAAAAATAAGATGATTGAAAGAAAATTGCTACAATAAACAAAGTAAAAAGACTGGGAGAAAATATTTGCAACCTATGAGG